AATAATATTTTGCAATGCGTGAGAATCGTGGACAAGTATAATGCAGTAGGAATGAAACGATAAAAATAATATTATGTATTCACGTTGGATTGTAACAATTACTTCGACAGTGAATTATATTTTATAACATACACTTAATACCGACATTATGTGAAATAAAAATGTATATTTATGTAAGTAAACTATACAATATGCGTACCTACGCGTGTACACTATAGGCACATGTAATAAAGGCACACCGGAAAAGTATTATTAGTACCTGCAGTTTGCCTACATATCCAATGAGACGGCCGAGATAGATTCATTTTTATTTCAACAATGAATTATTTAAAATTTAGTTGAATAATTAACTTTATCCACGGGTGTAGCATAAATTATAATTTATAATATGCATATAGTAGCATTCAATGGTCTGAAATAAAACTTTATGGATTTAGGTAAATCTCGATACGCAAATTGACTTCGGATTGAACGAGGACATAAAATCTAAACGGCAAAGTAGTCTCATAAAAGCCATTAATTACGACGAGAAATACATTTTAATTTTTCATCGGAACCTACAATCGAACGAGTGCAGCTTGGTAAAAATGGCTCACTACTAATGAGAACTCGTGATGTCACGGAGAGTCATTAAACTATTAAATTCCCGAAAGCCGTTTGCAATAATGATAACCTCGTTCGATATATATATATATATATATATATTACTCTTAATAGCCAAGGACGGCCGTGCGTCTCAAGTCATCGTAATGGGTGGATTATAATTTATTCAGAACACTTCCTTGGCAAAAGGTAAAAAGTAACAACAGTGCGCGTTTACCTCGAGTAGTCCAACAAAAGGACCAATTAAGTCAATATTGTGCGAATTAAATGATATAATTATTGCACATTGTGAAAAATATCGATTAACACAACAAGTACCTAATGAATTAATTCCTATTGACTTTTGACGACAATTCTCTTTCTGTGCGTTGTAACGCATACACTTGTTTATAATAATATGACCTTTTGTATATTAGGTTGCCACGATCTCGCCGATTGTCATCAATCGATAAAATTTTAATTATTTAATAATCGTTCATTTGCGCGTATCAATATAACTATTGTACGATAGATATTCGTAATTCATCATATAACGCAAGTGAGATCGGTAACGCGACAGCAAATTTTATCGTGTTTTATTGAAAGCACATCCTTGGTGGTAATTAATGGCTCTTGCATAGTTGTATAAACCATTTGGCCGTTCGACAACTTACATGCTGGCGTTTAAACCCAAAAAGCTATATATGTATGCTCGTGGCTCGTATTTAGCGTTTTACGTAAATCCGTGAAACGGTTCTTCGCCGCACGCTCGACACGTGACGGGGTAATAAGCCAACAATGAATACAGTAATCACGTATGAAGTATGTAACCCTTTTAAAACCTCGCGACCTCTTTAGACAATACAGATACGTGTTATATCATAATATACGTATATGGGCATTTAACGTCTATCGTTGTTCCACTTTTAACCGAACAATAATAATATTTAATTGTATTTGAATTGAATGTTTTTTAAAATATAGAAACGAATCTTAACTTATACACATACTTTAATTTATACGAGTACTATGTGAAAAGTTGAATATTATCCTTATACTCTTAAATAATTTATCTGATTAGATTTTTGCGAATAATACAAAATAATAATTTTATGCATACCAATAATTTCAATTGTCTAACTATATGATATTTTAATGTGCATATATATATATTAAATCTTAAATATAAATAATATTTTAATGTCAAATTAAAAACAGTTTTTACAATTTATTAGACTAATAATATAATACTATATAATATATTCTGTATAATATTTTTCATTCCTTTAAGGTGTTAGTAAATGATACAAAATTTAAAAATGTATATACTTACCCGATTAATTAAGTTATTTATTAAGTTAATTAAGTAATTAAATAATATAGTTAATTTAAAAAAAAAAAAGTATTTGTATAATAATTAATCGTCTTGAAAACTACAATAATTATTATTTATACACAATGTATTGCATATTACTTAAATTGCATACATTGATACATTTTAGAAGTTTTACATATTAGAATAATACGCATATTCATAACAATAATCAAAATAATTAATAATCATTCGCGATGAAATGTTGAAGTCATTCATTTTTATTATAATTAGTCCGATATCAAAATAGCGTTTCTAGTAGATATATACATAAATAATAATAATTAGAAAAAAATATGATTATTATATACATACTCTTTATACATAAACATATAAATGAAATATTCTTTTGAATAAAATACTAAATTGAGTAAAGTTACGCACAAACCCACCTTCCAATATTATAATACTATTGATATGAAAATAGACGTATCAAAAAACAACTATTATCTTTTAAAGTCTAAATGTAAAACCTTGTACAATATTTTTGGGTCTTACTTTCAAATAAAGTAGCATATTTTCCTATCACTATATTCATATTATTATATTTGTATTTGAATTTCTGTGCCACATAATGTTGATACATTTTTTTTAGTAAAAAGAATTTTTTATCAAGAAAAAAATAAAAACATGTTGAAAGTTATTTTAAAGTCATAACTTTATATAGTCTTCCAATTTTTAATGAGAAAAAAATAAATTAATTAAAAATTATTTCTTTTAAAATTTAAATTGAAGTTAATCCTCATCTTCTTTCCACGACATCCTTGCTAATATATATATATAAATCATATAAGTGTATACTTAAATTCTGTAATAGCCAAATTACACTATTATTCTTTCTATATTGGTCATCATAAAATACATATATTATTAAATAATATGAACTCACTAAAATTAAATTTATATGTACATATTTATTTTACTTAACTATAATAATAAATATAGATTAAACAAGTTTAGCAATATAATAATAGTGAGAAAAAAAATAACAATTAAAAAAAAACCTTTAAGAACAAGTGTATGTAAAAGGTCACTTTTACATTTTTAAATGTTAACTAAACTATCTAAACCTAGGTATATAAACTATACATTTAATAACACATAATAAATAAAAATAAATTATATTTATAATGATTGAAAAAACTACTCCATCCATAAACCAAAATGAATTCATAAGTATAATCAAACCGTGGTTAAAATAAATAAAAATTTAAATATTATCCTATTCGAAACGTGTATTGAATATTATTTATAATTGCTTTTTAAATCGAAATATTTTCTATTGATTACCAACAAAAATATTTAAGTCTAACAGAACTACTCAAAGTACAAGATTTCTTCAGGATATTTATGCATCATGTAAATAACAATATACTTTAGATCAAAGAGGCTATTAAACATAAACTTATCGTAAAAGTTTTTAAAATATAACTATTGCTTTTTATATTTGAAAAGTATTAAACCGAATACCACTCCATATCAGTAAATTTTGATCATAGCACCGACTATAATCTAAAAGTAGAAACTAGAAAGTAAATTATATAAATTATGTTTAAGAGCCAAATAACAGTAATGATGCGAGATTCTTATCGTTTTAAATTTTTAATCTTTTAATTTTATAATTACTTAAAAGCCATATTTTGAAATCTCATTTTTAATTTTTCATATATTTAAACATTTTTATACCATTAAAGAGTGTAATGTAGCGATTTAAATTTCAAATTTTTTTCCAGCTAAAAACCACTAATTTTTTGTAAATTATTTAGCATATAATTTACTTGTAATTTATTTATCGTAACTTGTGACAATTTTTCAAGTATATTATAATTAAAACCTACAAAGCTAAAAAAATACATTCTATTATATTTTATACTTGATGTAAAACTATTAAGGATTATTATTATTAGTACAAAATTATTTTCTTAAATATATCTGTTTAATAATTTTCAATAAAAATAAAATTAATGATTTTCTTCCAAAAATGAAGAAATATATACCTCTAAAAAACTCGCTATCTAAACACATGCCGTTCAAATAAACAAAAAAAAAAAATAAATAATTAACCAAAATTTAATTAATATCAATGTTAGTAGATTAAATAAAGAATGAGCATATTTGGTGAATAGCTCCATGTTATGCAATACAACGACAGTGTAAAATTATAAATTTAAAAATTAACCATATAAAAGTAGACTTTTAGTTTAACAATTCGTAACTACAAAATAAAACTGAACAAAAAAATTACTTAAATAACGTATGTAAGTAGTTTCAACAGAAAAACAAAAAAAAAAATTAATAAATTTTTAATAAATCTAAATTATCTTCTAACATAAATCTTGATGTTAATTTATTACATTTTAATGTTTTATAAGACTTACAATTAAACTTTTTAAAATTCGTTTCTTCGTTCTATAATACAAATGTTTATGACAGTTGAACTTGGATTTCTTTTGAATAAAGTAAATTACATTTTTTGTAAAACAAAAGGTTTATGATTATAAAAGTTTATGAAATAATTAAGTATTTGTATAACTATTTATTTATTTGTGTGTAAGTGTATAATATAAATAATACTTGAATAATTAATTATGTTTATTACTCCTAGCCAAATAAGAATTATTGCAATAACGTTTTTTGAAAACTATTTTTTATTAAACCATTTTGATCAAAAAGACTAAAATATGTTTAAACGCTTCTGGTTGAAATAAAAAAACAAAATCATAAGCCATGTAGGCGTACAGATAGCTCACGACTATTACTGTTATGACTATAGCTGAGTACATTTCATTGTAAATTGTTTATATTGTATAAGTTTGTTTTACGAATTTATATTGCAGTCTTTTCGGTTTTTATTTATAAAGTAAGTAGATATCCCGTGTATTATATATAGTGCGACATTATACAATGTTTACTATGATATTTATTAGTTGAACATACACACATTTTGTACTAACAAAAAAGTGATTTTTAAATGTAATGTTATAAATGTAATATCATGAATCTTGTATTTTATACTATGTTGTACACGGTTTCTATTTTGTTTCAGCTGGCTCAAACATTGTGGGCAAGTTTACTCAGAGCGTCAGGCGAATAGTACAAGACGTCAAGGACGAAGGCACCGCTAGTATGTTACAAAACAAATTATTATGATACAGTAAAAGCAGACCATTAAATGCATGCTATTTACACTTACGAATCAAACTTATAGTGGACGTCGGTGAAATTACATTTTTGGCAACGAAAAATTCACCGATTTCTTTTTTCTTTTTTCTTTTTTTTTTTTTTTGTAGAAAATAAACGGAACGTAGATTAACGTAGATAACCAACAGGAAATGGAAAATTATCTAGGAGAACTGCGCTTGTAAAAAATATTTTCTCTTCCACGAAAATAACACAAAATTACAAACTATCTACTGAAATATGTTCATCTCATGTGTCTCCGGTATCGCTTAAATAAATACCTTTTATCAATATAATATTATATTATTAGCTGCGCTGTTTAAATCACACATCGTTGAACATTGTAATTAAGGCCCTTCAAAAACATATTTTTACTCACTTGAATTATTTTTAAACATTGTCAGTGACATAATTCTGTTTAGTAAAATATTTTAATACAGTTTCAAACGGTTACTGGGTTTTAATGAAGATTAAACATATTTCTATGTAAACACTGAACTAAAAAGCAATTAGATGTATAAAAAAACTTAAAAATAATATAAATTTTGCACGATGTGTTTCATGAAATAAAATAATTATAATTTATTAAATACATAAGTACATTTTAAAAATGAAATAAACTAATATAAATCTTTCTTAATATTAAAAAAAAAAAAAATTGACATCAGTAAATATTTCTATAAATGTATAAATATTTACAGATATTCTTAGGTTATTTAAGTAATTTAATATACTTTAAATCACATTATTTCTTTATCATATAACATATTTTTATTTTAAAATTAACAAGGACTTTAACATGTTATAAAGGAATTTTACTAGTTTATAAATTATTAACCACTAAAAAACGATTTACAAATACATCGTAAAAAATGATGAAATCTTGCATACGTCATTCGTAAAATGTTTTAGCTTAAATCTTCTACAGATGCACAAATACATGACTTAAAGACAATTTCTCAACAATAAATTTAAAATAAATACTGCACATAACATTATAATGATAATTTTTGTTGTGTACGTCATAATATTTATAAGTTTATAAAAATGCCTTAATTAAAATAAATAATATAGTCAAATGCTTACAATTAATTAATTATATGATCTATTAAAAAGATACTTGCATAAAGCAACTATGATTTATTTTTGTTAAATAATCAACACGAGTAAAACTAATGTAACAAATAAAATAATAAGTATTTATTTAATCTATAAATTCATTCAAAATTATCGAATATTACTATATTATGTTTATTATATTTTATTAACATGTAAATGTAAGATAATTTATTGCAGATAATTTTTAATTTTAAGAAAAATTACATTAGTATTTTGAATATTAAATTAATGAAACTTTGCGCAAAAGTTTAAAAATGGAGGTTATTATAATATTTTAGAGTTATTTTTAAAAGGTTATAAATATTACATTGTTACATTGTTTTAATAAAATGTTGAAAAAAAAAATAGAATTTATTTAATGTTTATTAGTTGATTGTGATGAACTGCCAACGAAAACGCAATATATTTTTTAGATTTCAAGAATGCTTAATAAAAATTATTAAACTCTAAACTAATGGAAAACTATGAACGGTTTTTTAAAATTTACAATAAGGTAATAGAATAAAAAAGTTGGGAAACACTGTGTTAGAATATAAAAAAATAGAATAGCAATATTACCAAAAAATAAAAACCGATATTCTCTTTTATAGATATATGAATTCCTTTTTATTATTTTATATTTATGTATACAGTATTAAGAAGTCATTATTTCGGATACTATGAGATCATAAGTTAATACTGTAATAGAAAGTATTTCCGCGTTCTAATACTGACTTATCTTATCTTAAATATGGTACGATGCCAACAAAACAAATAATTCTATAAAAATGTTACTGTTAATCAATATTTCAATGTAACAACAATAATAATTTTTCAATACTTCTGCGAAATTCTAATGTAAAATGTTAGAATCAAATTCACGTTAAAATAAAAAATTTACAAAGAAAAAAATCAATTAAAATTATTTGCATAATTATAAATCAACGATATTGTTATGTTTCAAGTTTTTCAAAAATCAAAACTATTTTTATTTTTAATGTTATCGTTTTACCTGTGCTCTTTAGGTATTACAGAATGTTTCTTAATTTCATATCTATTTCAAAGTAAGGTTAGTGTAACAAAAATTATTCATTGAAATCTATAACATATTAAATACCATTATATGAATTTTCAACATAAATACAAGACATAACAATATATCTTAAAAATCATGAATAATTATTTATTAAAAAACAACATAATATTTATATAATTAATATTTATTAAAATTCAAAATAAGAAATTTAGTTCATAAAAAAAATTTAAAAAAAAAAACATAAAATATTTCAGTATTATATTGAAGCGTTTATTATTACTTGATTGGTAAGTCTTTAAACTTAATATTACATTTTTCTATTATAAAATATTTTGGTTGTATCTTTTTCTCTCCCAAAGGATTTTTAAATAATTTACTACAGCTTCGTAAGAAAAATATAAACTTTTCATAAAAAAATAATAATAATAATAATAAACAATTTATTTTATATTAGTTTCAGAAAAAATATCGATTATACTCCGATTATAGTAAACCAAAATAACATGACGCAAAAATATTATGAATCTATGAAATATAATATAAAACGTGATATATCGGAAATTGAGTTAGTACGTTTATATTGGTATACGTATAAAATAATATAATACAAACAAAAACGGTTTTAAATTATTGTTTTTTTTTCAAGTGTATTTTTTTTACAGCGAAATTACTCAATTTAGATTTTCAACTACGTTCGATAGATTATATCTTATAGCAGTTTCTAACTCGTTAGAGGAGCGACGAGCATATGTCTTCATCACTTTGTCACAATAAAACTTAAATTGTTATAGAACAATATAAGGAAGACTTTATAAATAATATGTATTAACACGTCACGAAAAACACACGCAACCGGCACCCGACAATCGCGACTGTTCGACTCACGTCGTGCCCGGCCAATATAACTTTGGACCGTTTCGACGCGTTTCGCATGAGCAATTGGTTTCGGCAGCAGTGACGGTAGCGAAAGGGACAAAAGCTAAAAGACGAATACACTCGTCGGAACGCGTTTGACGTGAAAATCGATACCATTACCGTTGGTCGTCTCGGAGGCCGTTCCCCGCGGAGTTTGGCCGTCCGTCCGAAAATCGCTGACCGTGCCCGGACAAAAAAAGAAAACTCCCCTCAGGTCCTTCTATAAGTCTGCCAGAGACGAAAATCATGGATTTTTTTTTTTCTATATTTTTGCGTTTCCCACCTAAAACCGACGATACTAAATAACATGTTAAAAGTGTAGATGTGATGTGGCGATTTGTTTTTTTTTTTTTTTTGCCGTCGACCATCCCTCGCCGGACGCCGGCGATCTGCATAGGCAAAACTGTATGCATGGTCGTCGAGCGGCAACAATACTAATACTACCGTACCAGTAAGGCGTATAACCATGTTTAACCATCCGTACTTCCGGTTCGTTTACTAATCATTACGTTGTACCGCTCTCCGACGACGATGAAGTTCGGTCTCTCGAAATATTGATTATGTTAAATTCTATTGAACATATCATACATATCATATTATATGACCAGTCGTGACGATTCTCCTTCAACTATACCGTATACGCACACAGCTGTATTATACTTGTGAAATAATATTACTCTATTACTAATAATAATACATTATTGATGTTATTAGTATAAAATATGAGCGCTACAGAATTTTTATAGTCTTGACCTCGTGATAGGAAAAGAGTGACTGGATGTATGATTTACTGAAGATGAAGGGGAGTAAGAGATCATTATAAAATACTTTTAAACTTTTTCCGCCTCGAATATTAGTTAAAAATAATAACAAACGTTTAAACTCTTGAATTATTAAAATTTTATGATCGTGTTTTTTCCTCGGAGGTACTTTGCTCACTTTCCCGAGAAAGTTTTTACTCAAACCCAGAGCATAATGTCCTAAAAAATGAAAATATTTAAATTTAAACACGTCTTTTTTTTTAGTTTCAACACATTATGCAGAGTTTAACAAGCATTTTAAAGGCATTAGAAATAATTTCGGAAATTAATAATTAATTATATTAACCGCTTTTGCGTGCCATGCCGTTTATTCGTTTATTAATTTTATAAATAGACGCAGAAATGAAACAATTCATCGCCGTCAATGCAAACCGTCCGTCCATTTGCCAACTGTTATAATGTAATAATTGCTCTAAATTTAAATTATATATTAAATATATGTAAATTTACACAGACGTATGTGTACAGTGTGTGTGTGTAAGTGTATTTTGATAACAAAATTGTTACATAATACACTAACAAACTAGAAAAATAGAATGATAAAGTAATTACCCCAAACTAAATTCTAGAAAATTCTATGAAAGCTCCACATGAGAAAAAATTAATTCTATTGTACAAATAAGCAATTATTGTAATTATTGAATGGGTCTTTGAATTTTTACATTTTGATTTAGTTTTTAATTTTTAAGCGCTAATATAAACAGTAAAAGAAAAAACGTTGATTTTTTCATGGTTAATTTATAGACTGATTTTTAGGCAAGCAAAAAAGTTTAAAATAGAACCACCTGGTATGTATTCCAAAAACCGTAAAATGAAACTCTGTCAAATAGAACCACTAACATAACAAGAACTTTTCTTTTAAAAATCAAGATATTCGTCAGAATAAACTCTAGTAAAATGTAATTCTTACTATGTTTGTTTCATGCGTTGATGCTGAAAGTTAAATTTATTTCTCATTTATTTGTAGATTTAAGTGTGTAGGATTATTCTTAATCTTGATGTTGAAAACCTTGCTGTGAACTACAGAAAAAATAAACTTTTAAACCAACAACTAACATTGCTTTTTATTTTTAATTGCGTGCTTTATATTATGCTAGTTTTATGTTTTCCAAGTCAAAACCATACCAGTTGGTATAATATATTGCATTCCCATTGCTAAATTATCAAATTCTCCGTAAATCTTTGTCAGCTCTAATATTGTTTAATCGCGATTCGCGATTGCATAGAACTAAATTATCAAATTAACTCGTTCGTAACTCGTGATAATAATTATTTTTTCAATACCAATCGCTACCTCCAAACAATCAGTATCGTTTAATTCTTTCATTAGACACTGGACCATGAGCATAATATATTGATATATGTATAAAATAATATGCATTGTACAACAACGTATTATATTGTATTATGTACGTGTCACATGGTATAATACGTGTCGTTTAAAAGGAAAACGATCTTGAAAATATTTTTTTTCTCATTCCGCGGAGTCGAGCGTTCCGGTTTATTTTTTATTCTCCCCGGATATTTATTTTACGAATGTATTTCATTTTCTCGCACGACGGCTCTGGAATTGTTTTCCGCAGAATTTCAAATTATTTGACGCGAACGCCGCCACTGCTACCGCTGACATATGTGTTCCGACACCCGTCAACCGTAATACAAGTACGTCACAATGATAGGTTCCGTGTCGCATCCCCGTTAAACTCTTTGACTCCAGTTCTAGTAGCGCTTTATTGACTTGGACCGATTATCGATAAGAAATGTTTCCTCTTCTTTCTTTTGCCTTTGTCCGCCAAACTGATAGAAAAATCTATCTAATTGCATGGAAACAGTCTAGCGATGAATCCATGGTGGATTCCTCTAAGAAACTCAATATAATCTTCGACACCATTACTGCATTGATCTGTTTAACGTATACTAAATGAGTATAGACACCAAACATAAATACTTTTAAGTAGCAAATTACACTAATAGTGTGAATTTTAATTAGGATTATACCTGAGATTGATGACAGTAGTAACGACGATGAATAAATAATAATTTTAAAATATTAATTTTATCAAATAGGATACTAATATTATAGTATAATACTATTATTTATTTATTTATACTAATAACTAATTAGTAATAAATAATGTGAATAAGATAAACAGATCAACAATGTATTACCATTATCTTTTGTTGGTTTCTAGCGTTAGCATATTTGTATTTAGGTACTTAACTGATGACAAAATTATAATAATTGACAATACATTTTTAATTATTATATTACGTGATAAAAATATGTACTTAAATGTCGTCTGACACGATTATCAACGATATAACATCCTTGTCTTTTCTATTCTTGTTCTTTTTATCCAAATTGACCTTTTAAACGGTTGATGGTATAGAAAAACGATTTTTTAAATCGAATGCAATTGCTATAAAATGAACTTGCTGAACATTTTTCAATAACGTGCGTATGTCGTACGTGCATCAATTCAGAAAGATATTTCTTTCAAACCAGTAATGGTAAGTGTACCGGTGAAACTAATCCCTCTCCCTCTCGTACAATTTTTTTCCGTTTTTTCTCCATAATCATTACAGTAGTAATTCTGAAAATAGTCACATAAATTCATGTTAATTATTAAAAACAAGTTTTGATAAAGAAGGGTGCTGGTGAAACAACGTACGTCGTTAAAAAACCAAAATAGCTTAATTCAACAGGCATAAATAAATGTACTTGACTGCCACCGCAAAACACAACAATAATAATATAATTTAAAAAGTATAATCATCTACTAAGTTATTATATATTAATTATCGCGACGATAGTTTAAAAAATAAAACATAATCTTAAGATAACGAAAACGTTGATTGCGTTTTATATTGTAGTAACACTTTGATGAAAACCGATGCTGATTTTTGCAACACTAGCAAATTATTATTACAATTTAATATTAGTGACGTATGATAGTAAGAGGGTTGATAAAAAAAAATCTAACCTATATACAATAAATAAACGTTTTAACGAGTTTATATATATATATAACCCTAAAAAGCAAAAAAAAAACACAAAAAATGTCATTAGTATATGAAAAAAATGATTTAAGGGAACTTAAATTCAATATTATAAACTTTTATGAAATTATAATAATTTTATAATACTATATAATGATATGAGTTTATACTTTTCGTATTAATACTGAGTCATCACACCCACCAATTAAGTACTTATAAAAATTTTAATTTTATAATACTATTATTTGAACGCATTTTATAAATTTTAAGTCATGAACACATTTGTGAATGACATAGTTTCGTTTTTTTATTTTTGACATTAAAATCCTAGTTCTAACTATTATCAAAATTTAAATGTTTATATGGCTTTTATTGCCGTGTTATATTATAATCTTAATAAAACGAAGTCAATCAAATCAATTTTCTAAAATTACTTGTAAAAACATAAACCAACATTTGATCTGAAATAAAAAATAAATGTTCCTTTTACGTAACTGCAAATATTTTGATTTATAATATTATATCATCAATGTTTAAATTGTACATAAAATAAATAAAACAAGTTACCACGAATATATGAAACATAGTTTAACAAATCAGGTTCCATATATATTCACAAGCTTAGGGCATAATGTTAACAATTAAATAAACTTTAATTGTTGTACATTTATTCTTATTGTTACCGTAAATAAAAGTCAATGCGAACAATTGCTTCTGAATAATGTATAAATTTTGCATATAATTTTTAGTATACGTCTATAGTACGTATCAATGATGACTAATATGAAAATGTTCGGGGACCACATGGATAAGTTCAATGATACAAAGAACCAAATTATTTATCTATAAATTTTATATAATTTAATACATTTTTATAAATGTTTACTAAAAAATAAAAATACTTAATAATAATAGGTAAATTTTGATTTTATAAGTAAGACGTGAGCTATGTCTGACAATGACGAGAGCCACATTTAAGCCACGAGTTGGCTACCCCTGTTATATATACTGTGTAAACCCAGATTAAAAGCTACAGTTTAATTAAGCCTTTTACACGCTGTGCTATACATATCATAAGTCATGATTATAAGTAATTTTAGATTAAATCCTTTTATACGGGATTATACATTAAACATCAACTGCCATCTTTCATTTCAAATTATCTAAATAGCATGTGATCCGTTATTGATTCCACACTATTTAGTGTGTACGAACAGTATCATTTTGCGGGAAATAATTTTGATAATAATTGAGTAGGTAGTAAATAAGACGAAACATAAATTTTATTTTAGAATTGTAAAACGGTTTTAGATATTTAAAAAAAATTATAAATAGTACAGCTTACAAATTACATACCTATAAAAAAATGTATTTTAACTCATATCTTTAGAATTATATATTTTTATAGATTTAAAATTTTAAAAATATTAATAGAAAATAAAGACTTTGACTTTAAGAAGTTTCAGTTAATATAGAAAAATACTGGGATATTCCGAGTTTATATTTAAAATATCAAAATTTATTATAGCTTAAGAGACACTAATTAAACTAAAAATTGAATAGTTAATTATTGATAAATGATATTTTTAAGGCGGTCAGACCAAAGAAGAAGTCATCGAAACAAATGAAAGATTGAGAGCAGTACGAATTCGTTTGGAAGAATCCTATGATACGGCTAAAAAGTCACTCATTACATTAATGACTAAGTACACAGAGAGTAAATCAACGCGAAATGTCTTCCAAAGGTATAATCTTCTGAAGGCCATGATTAAGGTAAGATATTATTATCAAGAAATAAAAATTACATCCTACATTATGTTACACAATATTGTTAAAAATTATTATTATATAACAAAAAAAAAAAAAAATTATATATCTATATTTAGTATACAGTTACATACTTCTATGACAGAATAAAAAAAAAGCAAGCATTACGAATGACTGTAAAAAAGAAATTAATTAGTCTTATTAACCAGTATTTAAACATTTCATATTGCAAAGCTCTTCAATCAATAAATTATTTTTTATTTTTTTCTATTGAAAAGATAAATATGCATCATTTTATTTTCGTTAAGATGACTTTTTTTATTGCCTTAATTATTAAAGTCTTACTATTGATAACTATTAATTAAAATTAATATACATTAAGATATAATATAAATTAAATTTAAATTTATTAGACACTTAATAAGCATTATGATATCTATAATATAATATCGACTATAGGTAGATTTTTTTTTTTTAATTTATTGAAATATTGTATAAATTTAAATTTGTATTCACCCAATTAATCATGCCACGCAGCATAAGTTACTGATAAAAAATACATAGATGACATATTCTATAAACCGATTCATATGAATAATGTCGGTTAAAAATAGCACGTATTTTTATTTTTTTTATTCGTCATATTTATTAGTTCAGAGTGTTGTTCTGATGTTGACATAAAATAAATAATTTTATGTACTTTGTAATTTATTTCATTTAAAGCACCATAAAATTCTTTGATAATATCCGAATATATACATATGTGTATTCTTTATTTCCCTCATTTTATACGTAAAAGCAATCATATTATCGTTACTTTTTCATTCCGACCGTGCACAATCGAATAAGTATAAAATGTTTTCGTGATAAAATAATGGACAAGAAATGACCTGAACACTACAGTGACTGACTACTTTTAAACGAAAAGTTTTGGCTACTTTTCAAAACTCTATTGTCTCTTGTCAAAAGTTATATCGTTTATCACAGGCCATTCTTCTCGTCGTTATAATATTATTATACCAATATACCTAAACACTTTTTCTCAACTTAATGTCCGACACATTATTATAACATTTATAACTATATGGTTAAATTCAATAAACTCGTTTTATTAATACACCTACGTCGTTCGTTTATTATATATAACTCATATATATATATATCGGACGTGAAATATTTTTTCGTTTACAGGAAGTTATCCGGTTGGAAACACAATATTGGACACTGGTCGAGATACCCAAACAAGAGAAACAAGAGACGGTACCGTCATTCGTGCTTAGGGCATGCGGAATTGTGGAAAAATCGCAAAAGTCAGGTGAAGGTGTCAAGTCTACGGCTAAAATAGCTGAAGAGGATGAGAAGAAACGAGAACGTATTGATAGACTTTGTGGTAAGCGTATCCTGAATTCCTAATATAGCGGTATTATATTATTGTAGCTTATAATTATTAATTGCATCGTAAATAAGAAAAATACTTTCCGATTAAATAAAATCATACGTGTATAATGAAAAAAAATTGAAATTTCTAATACTATACTTTATTCTTAATACCAATCTTATATAAACGAGTATACAGTTATATTAAAAGCAAGTATACACAAAAGATGGATAACATTTATAATTATACATCGAAAGACATTAAATCAATGCACAATATGGTCCAATTGCAGCAATTAACATTTATGTTTGTCGAGCTGCTTAATTCTGAGCTATCAAATCTCACATAAACAGGACTGATGTCACTTTAATGTAAAAATTTATATTTTTAAAAAGTTTATAACTCATCTTAAACTTGTGATACAGTGTTTTTTTTCTTCACTAAATAAATTATTAAAACTTCTATATTATCACACTTTTTTAAAATATATCAATATAAATTTTAAAATAATTTCATAAACTGATTTACAGTTGCACTAAATAATGAAGAAGTGTAATCTGCAAGAAATTTTTTTTTAACATTAAGGTAATCAGTTAAATTTTAATTTGTTAAATATTTTGAGTTCTCTATAAGGTTTAACATAACGATTGATACAAATGTAATAAACAAATGATATAAAGTTCATTCAATAATCATTGTACTAAAAAAAAATTATTACTAACAACGAAAAAATCGATCTAAGTAATGAAAATAATTATAATTTATAAAAATGCATAACACCCGATTTGTTATTAACTTACTACATGAACTATGAATATAGAATTAGAAAAACACGTTATTGTTCAGTATAATATTTAACCTATATTTATTTACTAATTAATCTCTACAATATTATTATTGATCTATATATTTGCGTTTACTTGAGTTAATACAAAAGTCCTTTTGTTAAATGTCTGTAAATATAAATGCTACCTATTAAAAAAAAAAAAAATGTTCAAGTTATTTCATTACTAAAATATTTTAATCCATTTCACAGTTATATTTACATTATCTAACATGGAAATAAAAATTTAATACTGAGGTAGGTGCATTATACATTGTTTAATGCAATAAAATTATTAAGATTTTTTTTATTATTATTATTATTATTGTTTAGAAAATATTTTCTTTTAGTTTATAACTTTTACTTACATTGTTACTACTTCTTTATGTGTTTGATTATTTCCAACAGTAAAATATATGACGTTTTTGTGTAACAATTTATGAAAATATTAAAAGTTCAAATAAGAGTATATATACGTGTAGAAAAAATTGCCTATTTATAAAATAATGACATGATAACATTTTCATAACCTCTTTTTCAACGATATTTTAGAAATTTAATAAAAAAAAAGGTAGAATATCAAACACCAGATTGAATTAGTTGGCTTAAAATATATTCCATGAATAGTTATATGAAATATAGAATTTAATGTAGGCACCTATACAAACGATAAATTAATATTTCAATAATAATATCATAAAAATTTTATCCGAACTAAAGTTAATCATAGTATTGAAAAAAACATTTTACGATATAAATATTTGTGATATTTCTATTATATCTTTATAAATATACTATCTTATATTATATATATATAAATTATATAAATAATATCTTATATTTGTAAAATATTTCACATAATTATTTAATAGACTTTAACATAATTTTCCAAATTATTAAATAATTTTTTTCAGTATAATTAAGAGTTTGAATGAGTTAGTATTGTGTAGGCAATTGTATGTACTTTTATTGTTCTTTAGTCTATTATTTCTTTGACATCAAATATGAGTGTCTGTATGAATTTCATTAAATCTATTTAATTTATAGTTTATAGACAAAGTATTTATTTGATTTTATAATATTTTTTATAATTGTACTGTATGTCTGTTTTATTAATGCCTTTCCAGCACATAATACCACAATACGAGTGTAATAGTGTTAAATTTAACACAGTATAATATTGCTATGTATACTTGTCTTATATTTAACTTATTAAAAAAAAAAAAGAATTTCGTAATTTATTTTTAATATTCTATATTATTTTCTAACCATTTTTTATAAAAATCTATTATCACTTCTAAACATTTGAATAAAAATGTAATTTTAATCGGTTTACAATGTTTACATTTGTAAACTAGTCATATAAGCATCGAATTGCGCAATATTTTATTTCTATGAATGACACGAGTTTTTTTTTCATAATTTTACAAGGTTTTATAAAGTTATTTCCATTAGGAAGCTGTGAGTGATTAGCAACTAATGGTATGCCTAATGATTTATTTACGTGAAGTGACAATAGATTTGTTCCATTAATTTATAAATATATATATATATATATATTTTATTTTATCATAATAATTAATCGTAAAATAATTACCTTAAATGCTTCCAATGTGTATATGATAGAAGATTTTGCTAGGTTCGAGATTAGGATATCGTATGCCTAAATGAAAACGAAAATAGCTTTGTATGTGAACATTTTGTTTTTGTGACTAAGTTTGGACTTTAAGTTAGGACAGAAAATGTCAGTTATATTGTTTTTTTTTTAAATTTTTGATAAAATCTTTCAGGATGAGTCTTTTTTTAATACTTATTCCAAAGTGATAAATTGAGATAGATTTTGGCAACTACTTATTGCTTAAAATAAGTGAAAGAAATACTTTTCAATTTAGACTGAAATTTATTTGAGTTGATTTGGGTTCGTTTAGTTTAATTTACCATTCTTCTTGGAGAAAATCAAGTTGAGATAGTATTTTACTTGTTGGGTTTCAACAAAGTAATCATTTTAGGATACTAGGAAGTAGAATTACTGCGGCATTGGCTTAAGTTGTTAGAATAATTCGGAATTTGGGTTATTGACAGGGTTCAATTATATATCCAAAGTAATTTTTAAAAAGGCAGCTTTTCCTTTATTATATATTGCTATAGAGAATTTTTTTAATAGTAAATTGGTCAATTGGTAGTGTAATTTCTTATCATTGAGTGATATGTCTGTTTTATCTTCGTAAGAAGTTTATTATTAGAGCATAGCGATGTCATATTTTTTGACATGCTGTGATCTATATGAAATTGTTCTTTTTCCGATCATTGTATTAAGTCATATAGTGTAATAAGATAATTTTATTACAAATTATTGAACTGCATTATCTAAGTTATCATTTGATATTAAATGGTTAGTGTATACAATAAATCTTAGTGTAGTACTATCATTAATTTATACACTGTAAACATTTATTTGCCGGCTGCAAAATTAGTTGTCAATTGTCATAGACTCATAACCATGGATACTTATAGAGTCACACGTTTTAAGATTTAAAAAATTTAACTGTATTTAAGATACAGGTATGTATAGATACTTAAGTCTATAATATATTGTAACGATAATATCTAATAAATAATACTCTTATATCATATTGACCGTATACATTAAAAATGCTGTTTATATTTTTACACAAGAAAAGTATTTTTTATTTTTTATTCTTGAAAACATACAAACTTAATATATGATAAATATTATCATAAAATGTATATATGAAACTAATATTAATCTAATTATACTCAGTGTTTAATAAGGTATATTATAACTTCAGTAAAATCTATGTTTGAATTTGGATCACTGGATTAGTAATCTGAAACTAGTTTTTAGTTAAATTTAAAATTAAGTTAGAAAAATTTCAAAACAAAAACCTTTGCATTATTGCTTGTAAAATTATTATGACTAAAAAATCCACTAAATATCCATAAAACTTAAGCCTAAATAGCGCGTATATAATATATTAATGTATGTTTCATTTGTATCTAACTATAGTAATATTTTAGTAGTATTATTGAGTATCCTTGAATTTTCACCTCTAATGCTTAATATTTATTCTCTAGTCAGTTGTATACTTAATTCAATAATGAAAATTGTATAAAATATAATCATATGTTAATGCCATTTAATAGGTATCTTATTTTAAAATTTGTAAACAAAAATCACCCATCATACTTTTATATTATGAATATAATTTGTAAATTCTCGTTATTATTTCTATTAGCCCTTCAAGTATATCATTAAATTAATTAACTAATTATACGAAATACTTATAAAGTCAAACATTATGATAATAATTTATAGTCATTATTTACAATAGTGACCACGAGCATAGTAGAGTACTCGTATATCGATTATTGAACGTACTTAAATACGTTTTTTTTATATGACCACAATATTCTGTAAATAACTGTATAAATATTTAAAATATTTGGGACGTTACTCAATGTATTATTTACAAATTTAATGATAGTAATGAAAACAATCGTTTTCATTTAAAATTAAATTTAACATTTATTATCACATTATCGCGTGACGCGTACATAAATAATAATAATTAGTGTTCGCGTTTACTAATGTTCAAAATATTATAACGAGTAGCTATATCTGAAACGATGTCTACTTATATTATAATCTTACGAAGCGATCCACTATCCACGCACGACATAAAATTATATTATTTAATTATATTGTTTGTAATTCATTTGAATAGATAACCAACCTTCCAGCTAGTTTATCATCATGACAAGACAATTTTGATCCGGTGACGTTTACAGGCGTTCGACGTTTACCAACTTTCATCAATGTCCATCAATATATTATATATTATAGTGTATAATATAAAGTACACGTACGGGAAAATATTGTATAGAACAAATTGAATTACATAATACAATATATTATATCATTAAACACGATTATAAATTATTATTATTGTTGCAACAGGGTCGTTATAATATCCATGACGTGAATCGCTTATATGTAACTCATGTCATCTTGTAATTATTATTATGTTATAATTTAATTTATTTATATGTATACCTATATATTTTATAACCTGACTAACAAAACAGATGATGTAACAAAACAGTAACTTTCTCGGTAAACATATGAGTTTTTTATTTTTCATAAAAGTACGTTCTAAATTATTTAAAG